GGCGACAGCGCTACCCACTGCAAAATAAAATAATAAAACAGTGAAACAGTAAACAACAGAAATAACAAAAGCACATATATAATCTAATAAAAAATTAGAACTGAAACCATAGAGCAAAAAAATTTAATAGGAATTGTAACAAACTACTTTAAATGTGTAATCACTGGATATTATTTGGTAACATTTGCTGTTTTTGTCTAACTTCCCAAAATACTTTAATTTAATTTGTGGAAAAAAAAAAAACATTCAGCTTCTACACCATAATACTTAATATCGATGGCATTTACTAATATCACAGCTAATTCCAAACTTTTGAACGATATTGTATATTACTTGCAAAATATTTTCATTTGCAAAGGTATCATTTCAAATTCATATCGTTAGTCTTTATCATAATATTAGTGTTTTTCACTGACCATATAAAGAGTTATTAAATGTAATCTTAACATGTGCCTGAATTATGTCCACAGTGCTGTATATAAAACACTTATTTGAAGGCTACTCGTCAAAGAAATCCAACTTAAGAAAAGTTGAATGAAGAATTTTATCACGTTAATTAAGCAAGAAGTCTGAAAAAGTCAGAGCAAGTTTATTAAACCAAAACAGTAAAAACAACTTAACAAAGTTTGTATTGGTTGCTTAAATATTAGGAACTATCACTAATGTTCAGTAAGGGCTTAATATGGCCTGTATGGGCAAAGAAAAAACAGAACTACCTTAAAAAAAAAATAATGTTTGGAACGTTGGTGCATAAAATGATTCAGTTTAATAGGGATTCACTAGAAATTGATTCAGTGAATCATAATATCCCAAAAATTCAATTATTATAAATTATACTGAATACACCAATATAAAAAACATTGAGTTTCTACACTGTATTACTTAATATCGATGGCATTTACTAATATGACGACTAATTCCAAACTTTTTAATGATATTGTATATGACCTGCAAAATATTTTCATTTTCATAGGTATAATTATTTGGAGTGTAAACAGCTGATATTCTGTACATTTGCATTTCTCCAGCTTGCCATCTAGTCCTAAATATATAAACAGAAACAAGCAGCAAATACCAAACATTGATAGCTTAAACAGAATGTTTTCCATTCCCAGCACAATTATTCACAGTTCTACAGGCTCACTGAAGTCCACTGATGTGGGCAGAATCCAATGCGGGTTGGTGGTCCAAGCGGTCTGGTTTATAAGTAGGGTTGTGTAAACGTTCATCCGAGGCCAAACAATGACGGTCCATGAGCAAACCCAGGAATAAAATCCCTCTAAACCAAAAAAGAGAGAAACTGGAATAAACTCAGAGCAGATGCTGATCCACCACCGACACTTGCATTAGATTTACGCTGTTCCACTTAAAGAAATAGCAAAATCATACATGCATGATATCATTTTCATAATGATAATTAGTGGTTATTCGCTTTCATTCGCTTTTCATTCATGCAAAACCTGCATTGCTAAAACGACAACAAAGTACCAAAACGTACAGTTTAATAGAAACACCTACCTTGTGCTTCCACTAACTGGCCACTTTATTAGAAACACCTTGCAGTTCATAACTGGCACTTTATTAGAAACACACTGCGGTCACTAACGGCCACTTTATTAGAAACACCTACCATGTGCTTCCACTAACTGGCCACTTTATTAGAAACACCCACCTTGTGCTTCCACTCACTGGCCACTTTATTAGAAACACCCACCTTGTGCTTCCACTAACTGGCCACTTTATTAGAAACACCTACCTTGTGCTTCCACTAACTGGCCACTTTATTAGAAACACCCACCTTGTGCTTCCACTCACTGGCCACTTTATTAGAAACACCCACCTTGTGCTTCAACTCACTGGCCACTTTATTAGAAACACCTACCTTGTGCTTCCACTAACTGGCCACTTTATTAGAAACACCTACCTTGTGCTTCCACTAACTGGCCACTTTATTAGAAACACCTACCTTGCGGTTCCACTAACTGGCCACTTTATTAGAAACACCTACCATGTGCTTCCACTAACTGGCCACTTTATTAGAAACACCTACCTTGTGTTTCCATTCACTCGCCACTTTATTAGAAACACACACCTTGTGCTTCAACTCACTGGCTACTTTATTAGAAACACCTGCCTTGTCCTGGCCACTTCATTAGAAACCCAAGCCTATCAGTGCCCTGGCTGTGCTGAAGATAGTTACTCCAGAATAAGCCCACATTTACTGCAGATTTATTCCAGCATTATCCCAGAGTTAATTCAGAAGTACCTCATAGTTACTGTAGAACAGGGGTGTCAAACTCAACCACTAAAAGGGCCATATTAAAAAAAATCTGTGGGCCAGCTGTGTTAGTTTATTTTTACTTAACATTTTGCCGTTGACCCCAACTGGCCATTGTGTGTTAAAAAAAACACCAAAACTACAAAGGCAAAAACAGGCACTGAATACTTGAACAATTCAAAAATAATAAAAAATAAAAACAAATAGACTACATTAGCCTCAGATCACTGTTAATTACAGCAGTTAATTTTAAAACTGCCCATTCGCTTGAACTGGACACCTGGCATCTTTTTTTTTGTTTGTTTGTTTTAGGTACAATCACATAGATCGTTGTTGAGAAGAGGTTTGAAACAAACACACATTTTGTTGCAGTGCATGCTGGGAACTGTAGTGCAGCTCATGGTGAAATGGGCTAATATTAATAGAAAATTAAAATAATTTTGCCAGCCAAATAGGATTGTGCCACTGGCCTGACTTGGCCCACAAGCCTTGTGTTTGACACATGGGCTCTAGAATTACCTCATAGTTTCTCAGTCACTCCAGAATAACCCCACTGTTTTTCCAGAGTTATTCCAGAATTATACTACAGTTACACCATAGTTATTCCAGGATTACCCCAGGTATCAAGTTATTCCAGAGATACTGAGGAGTTAGTCCAGAGTTATTCCAGAATTACCCAAGAGTTTGTAGAATTATTCTAGAATGGCCCCAGATTTACTCCAAAATTTTCCAAAATTATAATAGAGTTACTCAGCCTTATTCTAGAGCTACTGCGGAGTTAATGCAGTTACTGTAGAGTAATTCCAGAGTTTTTCCTGAATGAGTCGAGTTACTCAGCCTTGTTCTAGAGTTAGTGCAGTTATTCCATTATGACTCCAGAACTACTACACAGTTACTCCAGTTATTCCAGAATGACCCGATAGTTAATACAGAGTTATTTCAGAAAGACCCCAGAGTTTCTCCAGAGTTATTCCAGAATGACCCCATAGTTATTCCAGAATGATCCCAGAGTTACTCCAGCGCTACTGCAGAGCTACTACACAGTTACTCCAGAGTTATTCCAGAATGACCCCATAGTTAATACATAGTTATATGAGAATGACCGCAGAGTTTCTCCAGTGACCCCTGAGTTACTCCAGAGTTATTCCAGATTTACTTCATAGTTATTCCAGAGTTACTCCAGAATTACCCTAGAGTTATTCAGCCTTATTCTAGAGCTGCTGTAGACTTAATGCAGTTACTTTAGAGTAATTCCAGAGTTATTCCTGAGTTACTCTGCCTTGTTCCAGAGCTGTATTATTAACTGTATTAACATTTTATGTATAATAACAGTGTAATAAAGAACATAATGAATTCCTTGGTGCACACACTCACTCGCTTGCTCACTCAGTGTTTTAGATCACGGGGTCATTTGCTCCTGTCAGATAAGGTTCTAACTCTCTCTAGACCACAGGGGCTTCATACAACTGCAGAGCGCATGTCCAGATGTCGTGTATTTGGTATTGAGTAAAAACAGCACAACAAATGGAACAAAAGGTCCTCTGTGTTTGCGCTGCTCCCAAAAGAAACCATATGAAGAAATTTGCACTCATAACCATTTTCTTTTCATTGTTTTTCTGGTCAGACCCTGCTGTACTGCACTGCACCCCATTCAGCAGCTTACCAGCCTCAACAACCAGAAAAATATAGAAATATTACTGATATGCAGTGCCATTCTAAAGCATGTCAGTTTACTGATACACACATAATAGCATGTATTTCAAATAATTTGTAGGAGCCTATAAAAAAATGAAATGAGAAAAAAGTTGACATCAAAGAACAAAGTTGCTCTGTAATCAGAATGATGTTCTAAAAATGTATAAACAAGAACATTTTAAAATTGATAAAGTCTTGAGGCAGAGAATGTGATAAAAATATTGTAAATGCATAACTGTGTATTACTTGTTATTGATACCTTTTTATGGTCCCCAAAAAACTGAAATATTAAATAAAACAGCAAAATAGACATCTAGTTTATATTTGAATTAATATTGTAAAAGATACAACACACACGTATATGAATGAATAGATAAAGTGATTACAAAATTTGAACTGTATCCATGTTAGTTATCAAATTTATAGGCGACACTGAATAATTTGTAGTAGTTACTGAAAAATTCATAGTGATTACCGAATAATCCGAAGTGGTTATGGAAAAATTCGTAGTGATTACTAATAATTCATAGTAGTTATTGAAAAATTCCCAGAAGTTACTGAAAAATCTTATAGTGGTTACTGAATAATTCATAGTGGTTACTGAATAATTCATAGTGGTTATTGAAAACAATCATAGTGGTTATTGAAAACAATCATAGTGGTTACTAAATAATTCATAGTGGTTATTGATTAATTCATAGCAGGTCAAAATTTCATAGTGGTTACTTTACAGTTTATAGTAGTTATTGGAAATTTAATAGTAGTTTCTAAATAATTCATAACAGTATTGAATTATTCACAGTGGAAGTAATTCCTAGTGATTTCTGAATGATGTGTAGTGGTTAATAGTTTTCTAGATTAATAATTTAATTACGAGCTTATAGTTTAAGGGATTAACACGGGATTTGTGTCTGGGTGTTGGTTGTCTTGGCGATGTAGTTTTACTGATTAGTTATAATTACTATTTTTACCCTCATATTTTCTCATATTTTCTTCGTCATTTATAATTTTGAACTCTCTTTTTCAGGCCGAGAGCAAAACGGTGCCACGCATAACGGTCCAGATTCTGGAGGTGACCTGTCCAGTCCTGTCCCTCACCAAAGGACCAAACTGGCTCCTCCCTCTGTGGCCCCGCCTTCCATTCCTCCATCCTCTCCTCCGGCGCTCCCTCGCTCCTCCCCTCCGTCCCGCACCCCTCCGCAGCGCCTCTCTGTCTTGCCCAAACCTGAGCTCTCCAGGCTGGCTCCGAGGACACAAGATGGAGGTCAAAGGTCAAATCCTACGGCGACGGCTAATGGGGAGTCTGGAGTGACGGTGGGCCGCACTCAGTCTTTCCAGGGCAGAAAACCGCCACCGCGGGTCATCGCGGCAACCAAAGATGGTAACCTGGCAACACTACATGCTCTATGCGCTCTTTGATGCTGTGCCCAGAATTGCTATTGATTCGGATTGGCGGAGTGGTTAATGAATTGCCCCCTCGCTGGATGAAAGGTTGCCCGTTTGAATCCTTCTCTGTTCATTAGGGGGCTTTTGTGGCCTGTGATGAAGCGCTTAGAGTTTAAAGTCTGCATTAACCCTTTAAAGACAAATAGAGCAAAGCAAGCTTATTTACAGTCAACTGCAGAAATATTGGAAATATTGGAAAAAAAAAACAAAGCATAATTAAAACGTTCCTCAAAAATTCTCATCGTTTGAACAGATAGGGCAAAATTATTGACATCCCAAAAGAATATTAAATTTGCTTTTTTTTTATTCCTCCTTGTCTCCAGAGACTCCACTGTCGTTCCCCTGGGATATAAATTTGAGATCACATACATGAAAAATCGCTTTGTCATCCATCAACATGCATAACACCAAAGCGCACTCAACTCAAATGAGACAGAAGGTTGTGGAGCTGCACTGATTAGGAAGTGGTTGTAAAAACAATAAGCAGGCCGTTAAAATTAATATTAAGCACAATCAGGGTGATAGTAAAATAAAAAGTTATAGTTATAGTAGTTACTGAGTAATTCATAGTGGATACCAAAATATTTCTAGTGGTTACTAAATAACTAATAGTACATTCTGTATCATTTATAGCAATTACTAATTCACACTAAGTACTCAATAATTTATAGTAGATACTAAATAATTCATAATAGATACTGAACAATTTATCGTAGACACTGAAAATTCATAGTAGTTCTTGAATAAATTTTAGTAGATGCTGAAGAATTCATAGTAGATACTTAGCAGTTCATACTAATTGCTGAATAATTCATAGTACATACTGAATTATTTACAGTAGATACTGAATAATTCATAGTAATTGCTGAATAATTTATAGTAGGTACTTAATAATTCATTGTAGATACTGAATGATTGAATAATTTATATTACATACTGAATAATTCAAAGTAGTTGCTTAATAATGTACAGTATTTACTGTATAATACTTCTTAAGATTGCTGGTCTCAATACATTTGGAGTGATGTAGAGCTGTTAGAGCCGTGGTGTTTCTGGAAGGACTCAAAACTCTGCAACATAAGACACTCAAACTCAGCTTAAACTCAGCTTAAACTCAGCTCAGACTCAGCTCAGACTCAGCTCAGACTCAGCTCAAGCACAGCTCAAACTCATCTTAAACTCAGTTCAACTCATCTTAAACTCAGCTCAGACTCAGCTAAAAAGTTCAAACTCAGCTCAAGCTCAGCACAGGCTTAACTCATCTCAGACTCAGCTCAAACTCAAACTCAGCACAAGCTCAGACTCAGCTTAAACTCAGTTTAGACTCAGCTCGCGCTCGACTCAGCACAACCTCATCTCAAACTTATCTCTTAACTCATCTCAGACTCAGCTCAAACTCAAACTCAGCACAAGCTCAGACTCAGCTCAAGCTCGGCTCAGACTCAGCTGAGACTCAGCTCAAGCTCAGCTTAAACTCAGCTAAAAAGTTAGAACTCAGCTCAAGCTCAGCGCAGACTTGATTAATCTCAGACTCAGCTCAAACTCAGCTCAAACTTGGCTTAAATTCAGCTCAAGCTCAGACTCATTTTAAGGTCAGCTTAGACTCAGCTTAGACTCATCTTAGACTTAGCTTAGACTCAGCTCACGCTCAACCTCAGCTCAAAGTCACCTCAGCCTCAGCTCAATCTCAGCTAAAAAGTTAATACTCAGCTCAAGGTCAGCTCTGAAAAGACAGACTTACTCTCTAGTCTCAGTTCGTTAGTCAGTAGGTGTTCAGATATGACTGGTCGAACTTTCCTCGACTGTTGACTGGAATCTCCTGTTGTTTTTGACCTGTTACTCACCGTTGAAGCGTTTGTCATTTGGCTGGACTGCTTTTTTCCACTTTGCAGTGTTGCACTCCTCCGTCCCACACTCAGCCAGAAAGATGCAGATGCTCCAGTTCATAACCTCTCGTTTTGACTACTGTAATTGGGGCTGGGAGGCTTACTTTAAAAAATAAAATAAAATTCCGGTACTGATTACCTATTAAAAAATATAGTCTGTAAATTAATCCAAAGGATTACTAGATTAAAGTAACATATTGTGATTACTCTCTACTACTTTTAGACTACTTGTCTTTTTTTAATGTGGTATAGTTAAATAAAAACAAGAGAAAAGTAATTTCAGCAAGACAACAAGGCAAAACTGCACTGCTTTATGAAGCTAAATGATAGATTATACATATCTTAACCCTTTAAAATCCCAGGCTTATTATATACACTAAGGCTTATTATTCAGTTATTACATGGACTGCATTTCAAACTGGCTGATTTATTCTCAAGATGTAGAAGTATGTAGAAACAGTGGGTCCAGGGCATTTAAGGGGCTTGTGTGTCTGAGCTTTATACCAAAGTCAGAAGGTCATAGTAGATACTAAATAATTTATAACTTATTACTTATGGTAGATACTTATAGTAGACTTCTTAAGATTGCTGGTCTCAATACTTTTGGAGTGATGTAGAGCTGGTAGAGCAGCAGTATTTCTGGAAGGACTTAAAATTCTGCAACGTAAGGTGACTGTTTACTAGTTTACTCAAGCTCAGCTCAAACTCAGCTCAAACTCAGCTCAAAATCAGCTCAAACTCACCTCAAACACAAGCTCAAACTTATCTCAAACATAAAATCAGCTTAAACTCAGCTTAAATTCAGCTCAAACACAAGCTCAAACTTATCTCAGATTCATCTTAAACTCAGCTCAAACTCACACTTTAACTCAGCTCAAACTCAAGCTTAGACTTAGCTCAAACTCACACTTAAACTGAGCTCAAACTCAAGCATAACCTCAGCTCAAAATCAACTCAAGCTTAGCTCAAACACAAGCTCAAACATATCTCAAATTCAGCTTAAACTCAGCTCAAAATCAGCTCAAACACAAGCTCAAACACAAGCTCAAACACAGGTCAAATTCAGCTCAAGCACCGGTCAAACTCAGCTCAAACTTATGCTTAAACTCAGCTTGAACACAAGCTCAAACTTTTCTCAAATTCAGCTTAAACTGAGCTCAAACTCACACTTAAACTCAGATCAAACTCACACTTAAGCTCAGATCAAACTCAAGCTTAAATTCAGCTCAAACTCAAGCATAACCTCAGCTCAAAATCTGCTCAAAATTGGCTCAAACTCAGCTTAAACTCAAGCTTAAACTCAAGCTTAAACTCAAGCTCAAACTCAGCTCAAATTCAGCTCAAGCACAGGTCAAACTCAGCTTAGACTCAGCTCAAGCTCAACTCAAACTCAGCTCAAACGCAAGCTCAAATGCAAGCTCAGACTCAGCTGATAATCAGCTCAAACTCAGCTCAAACTCAGCTCAAACGCAAGCTTGAATGCAAGCTCAGACTCGGCTCAAACTCAGCTTACACACAAGCTCAAATGCAAGCTCAAACTTTTCTCAAACACAAGCTCAGACTCAGCTCAGACTCAGCTCAAACTTATTCCAAACTCAGTTCAAACTCAGCTCAAATGCAAGCTCTGACTCAGCTCAAACTCAGCTGATAATCAGCTCAAACTCAGCTCAAACTCAGCTCAAACGCTCAAAACTTATTCCAAACTCAGTTCAAACTCAGCTCAAACTCAGCTCAAACGCTCAAAAGCTCAAACTTATTCCAAACTCAGTTCAAACTCAGCTCAAACTCAGCTCAAACTCAGCTCAAACTCAGCTCAAATGCAAGCTCAAAGTTATCTCAAACGACGTTATCTGTGTGAACCAGAATGTTTGTGAGTGGAGCTGTTACTTTCGATTCACTATCCTTGTTAGCACCAGAGGCTAACATTAGCATGGCGAGAAGGGCTAAAACAGCTCCTCACACAACCACACAGGTTCATAATTAGGGTAAGGGGGTGTAGAACAATTTGCATAATCTTACATATTCATAAGGTGTTGAGTATTGAGGTTTAGAGACACCGCTATGCCACTTTTAGTAGTTTTTGGGCCACTTTGGGACAATTTTATTTCAAAATATGTAATAATTTATTATTTTATTTTGCTGTTGAGCCTCAAAGATGTGTCTCTTTTCTGTAGAGTGCTAGTTTTTTTGTTGCTTTGTCATCATAGTTATTATTCTCATGTTCTTTTTTCTCAGCTACGTGTTCTGGTGTTGATTTGTTTGACTTTGTTTGAGCTTGTTAAAGGTGCTATATAAGTATAACTCATTATTATTATTATTATTATTATTATTAGTAGTAGTAGTATTTGTATCATTATTATTGTTAAAAGAACTGAAACATTTTTGTCTGTTTTTAGCTGAGAGCGACTGTTTGAAAGGTCGTCCTTTCTTGGAGAAGAGTCCCATCTGCCGGCCCCCCACACGGCCCCCAGACCCGCCCACACGCTGCCCAGCCAATCAGAAAGCGCCCAGTGATGACACACAACCATCATAGTGAGTACACATGCGCACACACTGTAAAAAAATAAATAAATAAAAATAATGTTTGACGTCACGACGTCACGTTAATATTTGCTAAGCATTAGGTCTGTCACAATTATGACAACTTAGCTGATGAGTTATTGCCATACAAATAATGACGATTAATAATTTCATT